GCGTGGGGCTGCATGGTAGATAGATAGACAGACAGGCAAACAGGCAAACACAGAGAGAGACAGAGAGAGCGATAGAAATAAATTCAAAGATAGACAGGCAGATAAAGAGAACGATAGATAGACAGATAGATAGACAGACAGAAGGACAGATAGATAGACGGATAGACAAACAGATGGTTAGACAGACAGATAGCCACACAGATAGATAGTTGCATAGATGCGCTGATGGGGTAGAAGGTGAATATGCATATGCACACATAGCCAGTTACCTACCTGCCTTCCTGCCTTCGTGCATAAATAATGATTTGCAAACTTCGCACCGGCATGTGCCATGTATCCATACCTGCATAGTTGCTCACCAGCAAGCTGGGCTTTCTGCAGGGCCCAGGACGAAGGGTATACACATGTGTGTACGAATCTGTGTATGTATGTGATGTGTGTGCGTGTGTGCATGTGTCAAAAATACACAAGAACATGATATACACACACACACGTGCGCCCATACTCATCATACGAATGCTATGCAAACCGAAAACCTATCAGACATCTGTTGATTCATTCATTCATTCATTCGTTCACTCACTCACTCATTCATTCAGTCGTTCATTCACGCATTCATGATTTCACTCATTCATTCAATCAACCCTTCACTCACTCACTCAGTTTAACCCAGTCTAACCAAATCGAACAATCAAACCAATCAAGGCAAGAGCATCATCAGTCTAAATACCTACATATATGCATACATACATACATACATACATACATACATACATACATACATACATGCATACATACATAAGTACATAAGTACATGCATGCACATACATGTGCATATGTATGCATATCTGTGTATGTATGTATGTGTATATATATATATATATATGTATGTAAACATATATATATATATATATATTTACTTACTTATTTATTTATTTATTTATTTATAATTATATATATATATCATGCATGCATGCACGCATGAAACTCGAGGGTTTTTTGGTTTAGGGTTTGGGGTTGATAAGAACGGTGCGGGTGAGTACCATCGACTTCTGAGTACTCTGGCCTTCCTACGTGCAACCACCCATGAACCTCGAAGCGAATCTCAACACGAAGACTGTCACCGAGCCCAGGGGAAGAATGGACAAGGGTGGGAGTTTGGATGAGCATGGGGACGCGGATGAGGACGATAAAACAAAAAGAACAAGAAGAAAAAGAAGAAGATTGCCATGGTGACCACGATGCTGGCGACAACGGTTCTTGCTGCTGACGATCAACAACATCCATTGTCCATCAATTCTGTAACTTAGGGTTGCTGTAAAGTACCCTAAACCCGAGACTCCGAGCCCCTAAACACCTGAAACAAAGATCCTAAACCCGTACTCAAGTACTAGAGTCCGTATGTCATTCTGGTGTATTATAGTACATTATAACGTATAGTACATTAAAGTTCTTCCTGCGACTCTCCGGCCTGGACCTTCTTGCCCTCCTCGTTCACGGTCTCTTCCCAGCCTGCGGCGCGGCACAAGACAGGAGTTGAGATTAAAGTTTAGGGTTTAGGGCTTAGAGGTTGTGGGTTAGGGTTTGGGTAGCAGTAGCAGTAGCAGTAGCGGCAGCGGAAGCTCTAGCGGTAGCGGCAGCAGCAGCAGCAGGAGCAGGAGCAGAAGCAGTAGAAGTAGCAGTGGCAGTGGCAGTAGTGGAGCAGTAGTTGTGGAATTTTTAGTAGCAACTGTACCCTAAACCCTAAACCCTAAACCCTAAACCCCAAACCCTAAACCCTAAACCTACCTGTTGTTACCGCAGGAGGAAGCGCAGGGCGGAAAGCTGGCCTCCTTTTCCTTTGTCAGCGGCGAAGGCTGTGGCGATGAAGGTCGCCTGTGCGAGGCACGAGTGAAAAGGCTGAGTACCCAGAGAACCGAATACCCCTTAGTTACGGAGTATAACTTTATAATTTTAGGGGCCTTAACATGATGATGTAAGGTAAGGAATATACCTCAGATCATAGTATTAAGGCCCCCAAAATTACAAAGTTATACTCCTTAATTAAGGGGTATTGGGTTCTCTGGGTCCTATTTTGAGCTCCGGGTTCCCGGGGGGGTAACGGCGAACTCTTTGCCTTTGTGTTCTCAAAGCTTCGCTGTTGGTGTTTGCCACGCGAAACCGCAAACCTTATCCGGTAACCCGTATTGTAGGGGTTTTCATGCTTCGAAAAGGGTTTTGGGGGTTCATTACTATAACTATAGTATAATATACCCCCCAAGCCCTATTCTAATTGTTAAGGCCCCTACATTAGACCACTACGTGCGGCATCCTTCAGGCTTCATGATCGGGCTTCTTACAATCCAAAACTGTTGAAAGCATGATTGAACCTACCGCAACTGTCCAATACTTCTCAGTAAGGAATAATCGGAATTGTCCTTAATCTCTTGAAGAGATCTGTATTGTGATTTGGGGTATTTGTCTTGAGCAAGGGGTGTTGGGCTCTCGAATTTGGGCTCTGCATTGTGACCGCTGGCACGCTCTACCCAGTGATCTTGTCACACACAGTACCCGGAACCCATAACCCCAAATCTAAGCCCAACACTCCGAACCTGAACGAAACCTCAAACTCTGAAGCCAGAAATTCTGAAACTCAAGGCTTTCACCGTAACCTGTATCTCCCCACTACACGTCTGCAACCTTCTGCTGTCAGACTAGAACCTCAAGCCGTTCCTCTGTATACAGGCTGTACAACGATTTTTGAAAGGGTCTTATAAGGGTTTTGCTGAGATCGAAGCAATCTCTCTGACCTCGCTTCGTTTCGCCAAGCAACGCTGCTTTCCCCGAATTCATGAATCCTAAGCCCCAAAACACGAGCTACAGTTGAAGCACCCGACTGCCCGATGCAAATGCGAACCCGCTGCTCCAACTCCCTCCAGATCAAGCTGAGGCGCTAAGACAAATCGCTGCAGGCAGTGCTGAAAGTTAAGCGCCATGGCTCTGTAAATGAAACAGCTCGGATCCTTTCAGTGTTGTAAAAGGTTTTTCCGAATCACCTTGAGAACTGTGATAAGCGAAGCTCAATGTCTGGACAGGTCCGCCGTTGCTCCTCGTGCTGGACCTGTGACACTTGGAACTGCTGAGATCTGTCGGAAACCCTAAACCCTAAACCCTAAACCCTAAACCCTAAACCCTAAACGGGAGGTACCACTTGCTGGGGGTCGGCCGCCTAAATGAAAAACCTGCGCGAGCACCGCGTTGCGCGTTCAAGCCCGAAGGGTCAAGGCGCAGACGGCAGGTAATGTAGGGGCCTAAATAACTACCAATAATATCTTGGTGGTTCCTTTTTATCATTAAAGTATGATGGGCCCCAAAATCCTATTCTAATTGATAAGGCCCCTATATTAGTTCAAGCTTCCTCCCCTGACTTCCCAACAACCTGCAGGGAAATGATCAAGCGGACATCCCACGTCAGAGCTAGAAACGACTTTTGTCTGTTGCTGCCAAAAGGATTTACTTAACCGAAGCCCCGTCCTCCGTTCTTACATTTGAAGAAAAGATCCCTAAACTAACAGGTGAGTCGCGACCTACATCTGTGGGTGTAGGATTTGGGGTTCAGACGAGCTTCTATCAGTGAACTCGAAAGGTTCCTTCGGGGTTTCTACAGAAGTTCACGACTAGGGTTTAGGGTTTCTTCTTTAGGGTTTAGGGTTTAGGGTTTTTTTGGTTTAGGGTTTAGGGTTTAGGGTTTAGGGTTTTTTTGGTTTAGGGTTAGGGTTTTTTTGTTTAGGGCTTAGGGACTTGAGGCTCAGAAGGTTCATTGCACGGGTGAGTGGCTGAAGACGCAAGCGTTTGGAACGCCGAAGGATCGAAACCGTCAGTTTGGGGTTTCCGCCGCTGCCCAACGCACAAAGCCCACAAGCTTTAAAACCTTAAGCCTTCAATTCCTTTACCTCGACCCTCAGCCACAAAGCCCCCAAGCTATAATCCACAAAAACTAAAATGAGCCTTCTGCAGATCTCGCTGGAAAGCTCGCGGTTTCAAACTGCTGGCTTAACGGCCTAAGATTGAATATGCGCGCTCATGGCTATTAAAAGATGTAACGAAGAACCGTTAAACATACAGATAAGCTATCTCTCTGGGATGTAGCACCAAGGTTCTATGGGGGTTCTGTTCGGGGAGGTTCTATGGGGGCTCCTTCAAGAGAGTGTGTAAATGAATCCCACAGGATGCGGATATTCTAACCTCAGCTTTCTAGGGAGACTACAGGCTGATGCTTGGAATTGTTTTTAAGGGCTACTTACTCTTCTGCTGATGCCTTGGCGTCCTTTTGTGCTCGAGGCGGCAGTTTCACGCGACCACCCTCTGTTCCGGCATGGAGGTGACCGGCCGATCGGCAAGGCCCGCCGAGGGTCGCCCCCAAGACAGACAGCAGGACGCCGCATCTTGCGAGCTCCCCAAATGCACGCCTCGTGCTTTCCAGCGACTGTTAGCCACCTTCATGCGCGGTGGTGCGAGGTAGGTAGCGGCTAGCTTTAAAGAAAGCAATCGATGTTAAATCAGGCGAAGGTCGCGCTGCTAGGAGGGTGGGGCTGTGGAGCTCGGTTTCATGCGGTCATGCTGCTGGGCTTGAACCTGTAGGGTTCACGTTCTGCACGGCTCCGCTGAACCGAAAGCTCCACGACCCGGAAAAAGGTCTCTAATGTAGGGGCCTTAGAATGGTTGAAATAGGGTTTTGGGGTCTACTATATTGTAATTATGATTGGGAACCCCCAAAAGAGTATGGGTAATTATTAAGGCCCCTACTTTACTTGGAGGTTCATGGGTAGCAAGTGGGGTTATAAGTCCCCTAATGGGGGTTGTAGTTGTAATTACCCTACTTGCAACCCCCACTTGCAACTACCCATGAACCTCCAAGTACACTAACCCTAAAACCCTAAAACCCTAAAGCCCTAAACCCCTAAACCCTAAACCCTAAACCCTGAATCCTAAGTGAGGCGGAAATTTTTCAGGCCCCTAGACTAAGCGTTCAGGCTGCGCCGGAGGCGGTGACGGCCCCAGCGCTGTGGAGCACGGCTGGGCTGCAGGAAGTCCTGGAGGCTCGGGTCTGGCTTTAAATTGGGTTTAGGGTTTAGGG